CACAGTTACAACATGGGAAACTCCTCTCTATTAGTATCCTTAGTCGGAAAAGATTTAGGAGTTTTGGTGCCCTACGACTTAAAGTCTTACGCCAACTGTGACAGAAATGCCTTTCGAGCAAACCTGGCACTGATAACATTGAAGCGCATTTTTGGTCAGTTTGACGGGAGAACTTTTCACATAATCTTCAATAGTTTTATTCGTCCCCATTTAGAGTACGGAAACATAGTATTCCCTCCTACACTCCAAAAGGATAAGGACACTCTGGAGCGTATCCAACGGCCAGCCACGAAATCAGTTCATGGACTCAAATTTAAACCATACGATGAGCGCCTCCAATCACTCGACCTTTACTCATTTGAGTATAAGCGTCTTATAGGTGACCTTCTAATGGCTTACAGTATCCTTAACACAGCTGGACATCCTCTTAAACACCTACTTAAGCTTAGTCCCAACACTAACGTAAGGGGTAACACCCAGAAATTGGAGATACAACATAGTAGAACGGACTGCAGACACAACTTCTACTCATTAGGAGTTGTCGAATGCTGGAATTCGCTGCCGGCTGAGCTAGTACAAGCAACTTCCCAGGAGTCCTTTAAGAGGCGACTTGATCTATTCTTAAGGTCTAAGGATAGTATCTTACTATGATTTACCAATTTATTCTTTTCTCTTTTATCATTAATATACCTAGGTTCTTGCCTGGAGGTATTGGTGATCCCTTGCTACTAGACACCGAAGCCTGATAAGCGAAAGCTTCTTCTATTCCGTATACAACCATTTGAACCATTTGAACCGCACAGTTTGACGAATTTTTGTGTTGTCGCGTTCCTGAGGTTGTGTAATCGATTTTAGACATTATTTAATTACTTAAAGTGTCAATTGTCGGATCTCCTTAATTTTACTATTTTAATCTATCTTATTGTTACCAAATGCCTTATTTACTTAACTTAAGTACATCTTGCCGACATATCTCGATAAGTTAACTTATCGAGTACAATTGTACTCTAGTTGAGTTATGAATTAATCGTAGATTTCTCACGCTTCGCCCTAAGACAAGCTTCAAACATAAGAAGATTCTGACTACTGTCCAATTCACGTTGGGTATGTATCTTGAAATATAATATTTTGCAAACGCCTCTATAGAGGCGTTAAATTCAAGACAATCCTTTATATGGTCGGCTTATGCATGTTTAACTATTAATGGGTGTTGTCAAACAATGACAGATGTTTGCCGCTTTTCACCACCAACAACAAGTCAGTCTGACACCCGAAAAACTGTGAAATTCACCAGGACTAGTGCAGCTGAATGGCTTGACTAACCGTATTAGGTCGAAATGAAACTGTGCCTTAAGGCTATAAAACAGGGGAAGATGAATCAGTTGGTTTGCAGTAGCTCTTTAAGAGGATATTTGGTTCTATACGTGTAAAATACCATAATAAAACTAGTATTTCTGGCTATTGTTTGATCTTGTATTGTCTGAACTAGTTCTTCGGGATTTACGTCTGTAACAATAGAACTAGTTATTTTAAATCGTCTATGGTCAGTTAGTTTTTTAACCATTGGTCTAACACGGCAAATTCTGAGGTCTGTCATTGAGTACATGTTGACCTGTATGTCATTGTAACGGCCAAGCATAAACCAAACGTGACATCTTTTATTTGCGTACACTGAAAATGGTCATGTACTGACGAAACTCTCAAGTGTTACACACAATCCGTATAAATATATCGGGATATCACAGTGTAATTTTCATAAGTACAGAAGCACTAGGTTTTTAATAAGGAGATCACCTGGGTACTCTTACAACTTGCATCATATGATCAAAAATAGAAAATTCAGTAGTAGATGCAACAACATAGCTAAGCGAAAAGATGTTCACGTTCTTATTTAGTCTTTCAAGTTGGGAAAAGATCCACATTCAGATAATCTAAACGTTGTTGGTGTTTGTACATAACAGTTTTTGATAGCTTACAAAAATCCATTGATTGCAAGACCATATTTTTTCTCACCTTTTCCTTGCTTTTCTAATGACTAGTTTTCTGTTTCTTTATTGTTTTAGAATAGAAAATAATAATTGTTATCTTGTCGTATTCTTTGTGCAAATTATCTTTATGCTAAGGTGGTCCTGTTGTTTTGCAGTTAGGTTTAAAGAAAAAAGTTTATGAAATTAATTAGGAACCTTGCTTTTATAAAGGTTATCAAAAACACCAAGTAAACGCTGAAGATACTGAACGAGGTAGAGTTCCAGAGTGGAATTAAACCACAGTGTTCAATAAAAGCTCTCAGACAGTTGATTTTTGATGAAGTGCTCAAATCAAAGTCATGCCGTGCTACATAGTACGACTCAACCAAGTCCCAATCAACAATGGATTGTGAACCAAGAGAATAAAATAATTCAATTGGTCCAAAACATAAATGTATGTTAACAATAATCTTCATTACCGTAACGTGTATTAAGGTGTAAAAATAGCTCCATCAAAGAATAACTGCTGAATGCGTATTTTTATTGAACATTCTTTGCTCGATCACCTACTCATTCCAACATTTTGTGCATACTTTATATTTGCAAGCCTTATTTTTATTGATCGTCATCCCCCAATTACTTATGCTTGATATATATCACTAACATTTTCTTAGCCTACTTGCGTTATCGATTCTATCATCGTGACTGGTTATCATCCATTTCATGGACCTAATGAGACATAACCAGATTTTTAATGTAATTAGGTTTTCACTGTCAATACAATCTAGGACTACTGTTTGGCCCTATTTATGACTAGTCAGCTGAACATTTCTGCATTCCAGTGTCAATGTTTAAACTGAAACTCGAACTCAGTATCTTTTTCTTCAAACGCACATATGCTAATAGACACTGGTTAAATGCACTTCTTAATGCCAACAACGACAAAAACTCGTACCATTAAATATATAATAACTACGGCTGTTTTTAGCCTTCCATCCAGTCCTCAATGAGTTTTTGCTCCATTTGATAGTTTTGTTGTATTATTTATTTTTATTGTTTACCTATCCTTTTAATGTTCGAATTAATTAGGATTCTTTGTGTTTGGTCAACTTTCCTTGATAGAAAGCTATATAACTGAAATTACTAACACTATCCCTTGATTATGTCTATTATTGTACTATCGGTTTTCTTAGTTTTTAAATATATTTATGGTATTTGGAATTTTCTCATCTAGACTTGTTTGAATAACTATCAGTTTGCTTCATTTACATTCTATAAAATCGCGTATCACTTTTGCACGCCTCGATAGCATCACAGAAATGGTTGATATATAAAGGTCCTTTCATGACGTAGTAGAAAGCATAATCTGTTCCTGACGAAAATACATTATTTAAAAGGGTGATATGAATAACGCTTTTACACTGTTTGCAAACATTCTTCTAATATATATTCCGTAAAGTTGATCAAGTAATTTTTACAGGGCCATATGTTTAGTTTGGTGTTACTCCCTACATTGACCTTAAATTCCTGCTGGAGTAAGACTGAACTGATAGAAACTAAAGTAGTTTTTTTTAAAAAACCAGCTGTATTTACGAAGCAAATACTAAATCTCTGTGAGAGCAGATATGCCTTATGCTTTTGAAACCAAGCTCTTCGGAACCGAAAATGTTTGGTGACTATTTGATCATCGTCATTTTCAATGGATCACTCTCGTTAGGTGGCAACGCAATCTTATTAGTACTGAGGTTCGACATCACATGTTTATGTGTAGTGATTATAATTCACTGGGGGTCACAATTCTGAAACACCAAGTCCAGTGTATTGGACATGTTTTATGGGTATCATCCAAGGGGCTTCCAAACAGTCTGTCGTTCACCGACCCTGGTACAGAGTTATTGGTCAGTTTGTGAAATGGCGCCGGGGTGTGAAATGTAGTTGTATATTATTGGCATCCATCTGTTTACCACGACTCTCCAGTTGGGGTCACAAAAATTGTGCAACTCAGTGGTTTGATACGTCATTAGGCATAAATCAGAATAAAAACCACTGGCGATCATACTGTAGTTTTCTGTTAGAATTTTAATAGCAATTAAACGATCTTTCTTAACTGAAAGTTTTTTGTTCTATGCCTTTAACCAAACGTTACCTCGTATAAAATTTCATTTGTGATCATTAGTTTATTGAGTGAACTATTGTATTTTTTTACAGTATTGTTGATTTACTCGTATAGGATATTCTTTTTGACGTTTTAGTGTACCAGGATTAATTTGCTTTCAATAAAAAAACTGACAATTAGACTTTCACAGGGAAGTTTACCAGTTCATTACTTAGAATTCTGTCAAAATGTATTAGCCGGTCAAATATGGTTACTAATCAATAAATATAACTTGACTGTCGTGAAGAAACATCATGATATTATATGGTATTTTATTGTTGTTTTAGAAACAAACCATAATTTTTTTCCATTGATGTCTTCTCTTATTACTCGTGACAGATATCAAATACATATTAAGATACCATATTGAATTAAAGAAAAACTAGGTTTCTTCCTGATATTTCCGAATAAGATAAGTTTTTTCGAATTCGGATATGCACCCTATTAGTACATGTATCTTTTATCGAATATTGTCTGGTTTCAATTTTAACTTGAAGACGCGTTGAGTGTAGACTGTCATCATAGTTTCAGGTCACATGTTAGTCCTACTTTATATCAAAATACATCAAATAAAATTAACACATTAAACTTAGGCAATAATTATTGATCGCTTATATCGTTTAAATTAACTGTAGAAAAAAATTATCATAAATTCATATGCAATGATTTCGTTGAGGTTTACAATCAAACTAGTGGTTTGATACTGTAATAGTATGGTAATAATTACTTAGTTATTTTTCAGGCACGAAAGCACTATATATCCATACATTTTTAGTTATTCTTATAATCATATATATATATATATATATATATATATATATATATATATATCCAATTATACCGCAAAATATTACATTTTTTAGGGAATGTATGAGTTGGTCATTTTCATTAAGTTAAGGACTAGGCTGTTATGTGAGCTTTTTTGTTGCAAACTAAATTCAATTATGAGTAAGAGATTGTGGAGATTGTTAAATTCTATTGAAACTATAAACCGATCTAAGTTAGACCACCATTCAAAACCTGCGATTACAGGACACCCGTTTCGTCTCATCATGGGACTCCTTAGCAGTGCACATCCACTATCCCGCACGAGGTGACTGAACCCATGACATTCAGTCTCGTGCTCTAACGCATAACCTCTGGACAACTGAGTCGGTATCCAACGTTGTTAATGTCCAACTTTAACCAATCCAAGACATGGCCCGACCATTTCCCATTGTCTCCAGTGGATAACTGCCTCACACCCAAAACGGATTAGTTCCATCAGTCACTGCTTCTGACGAGGACTCCAGAAGCTTTTTGAAAGCCATTCAATAGCAAGCACATGATAACTGCCAGTGGGGGATTGTGGAAGTTAAGCGCTCACTCCCAAAACCGAAGGTCCTGGGTCCGATTCCAGCGTGCGGGATAGTAGGGGAGTCCCAAACTAGGACGAAACGACTGTCAAGTGCTTCCAGGCTTTAAATAGTGGTCTAAATTAGATCGGTTCATGATTTCAATAAAGTTTATTACTTTTATCATTTTACAGAAAAAAATAAAAAATGCTGAAAGCGAAAGGGATTTAATTTTGAGAATTATAGCGCGCTTACAAACTCAAGAGGGACTTGCTACTGACAGTAAGTATTTTTATGCTACGTTTTAAATTTTTAGTAGGGTCATCTATTATACAACACAAATTGTTTAGAGTAGCATATTCTGTCGACGATTCGTTTATTATCTGAGATGACATTTATCACGCTTCTTGGCTGCCTAATTATTCCAACAATTCTCATCCAAACATAGTGTACTATTTTCTTAATTTCATCGGTTTGCCTGCACTTAGAAGTTTTGAAACTAGAATGCACGTAATATTGCGAGCGAACGTAATTGTGAATTTTACTTGTGATGTTACTTTTACTATTTATAGATAAAGGCAATGTTTTTACAACTAATGATATTTTACTTAAGTTTGTTTGAATACATAGTCACTCTTAACATTTCAATTTTTAAAATGTTTGAATAAGTTTCGTAATGAATAGATTACATCAACATCAGAACTTTCTTCTTTTATCATTGGCTGAAAGTTTTAAAACTAAAGTGGATATAACACCATATGCTAGATTAGTGCAAGCGACTTACAGAAATCCACAAACTTATGTTTCTTCCTCGTTGACCAAACAATACTAACTTACAGTTTTAAACGAACACATATGCAAACTCACATCAACTCGTTCCACAATCGATGTTATCAACTTGCTATACGGTCTGCCAGTGACGTTAAGGGTGTATTCTACATTAATGTCATTCAAATTCATTACTCCAGTCATTATTATATCAAAATGATGAGTTACCCTTAATCACTTTATTTGTTAAAACACCTTCAAAAGATGATATTATAAATCTCAGGAAGTAACTAACTGTTGTGACGGAACGATTATTGGAATATTTAGGACTGTTTTTGGAATAATTATTAATATTTGCATCGTATAATTAGTAACTAACTGAATTATTGCATCTGTTTTCCTTGTCCGAAGCTTTCGCTGAACCTATCAACTGTCGTTATGGATTTTAACACTTCTTAATTATTGTTAATTACGTACTATTTGCTTCACTCTCTGCATCTTATAGCATGATTTTGTTCAAGGTATGATTTCTTATTTGCTATACCGTGATAGGCTGGGTAATTGAAATATAGTAATAGGAGCTTGGCTACAGCCTTTTCGGACTAGAGGCTGAGGATAGGGAAAGATGAGTGGATAGATAGACCAATATGGATGAATCCTGCACTAGCACAAAATTAATTATGCCGACCAGAATGCATCACTACTCAAGATTTAGGACAGTAGGCTATAGTTAGAATAGAAGACGCGGAATAGGAAAGTTATGGTCGGAATACTGATTGGCAAATTTAGCACGTGATATTGATTACTATTTCGAAACATATTATTTACAATGCAAGAGTAGTTAGTTAATTTAAAACATTACCAATAACATTGCGAAACAGAAAATTCTAAATATTGGTACAATATAAATTATTTTGGTTTTTCTCAGGTAACAAACATTCTAGTCATGAATCATATCCAGTGAACGGAATTAAGTCCTCATATACTGAGAATATGGGGAAGCAAAACTCGTGTGAAAAAGTTGAGTACAATAACAAAAACGTAAGTACATTCTTTACTTTGTAACAATACAAAAATAGATTATCAATGCAGGATCAGTTCAATACAACATTTTTCTCAGAAGTAGATTGGAGTTTTTAAGTAGACGCAATAATTTGGTTGTTATTATTATTGTGAATTATAACATTTTAACTTTTGCATTTGAAAAGATTGATTACTAAGCTTTAGATAAGCTAACAAACAAACTTTCTATACTAAGTCTATCATCTTTATATAAACGAAAGAATGACCTGCTTGAACATCTGGGCTACCTACTTTTGCCATCTAAATATTTCAACAAGTGCGTTTCTGAAAAGTGTACAACCTTTCGTTGTACAAGTTACAAAAGGCCCAATCTTATATATCGTGGTTTCTGGCATTATGCAGTGAAAATAATGTACACTGTTTAGGTATCGATTAATTGGACTGCTAACTTCTAACTGGCGACCACTCAATATTTATCGTCAGGATCGACCAAGAAGTAAAAAACAAAAACTTGTTGAAATACTTTGTGCTAAGAATTCTATATTGTACTAAAAATATAATACTGAATAAAGCCACTAATAATAATAAAATAGATATATTTCTTTCTAAATTATCATTAAAACTGGTTTAATTTATTGTATTCCCATTTCTTTCATCTAATTATTCTCTACCTCTCTCAGTAACTTTTTGTACTACTTCGAATAAGTGATTTATTTCATGATAATTCTAGGAATATTACAAAAATTAACATGGTAGGCAAATTATATGGAATCTCGGAAATGTAAATGAAATTCTTTAAAGAATGCTTTCATTGTAAAGGATTTAGAGGTCATATACATTTAATTCTGTTCTTCTTATCATTTACTTGTCTCTATTTATAAAGTAAACTGAGTACTAGAAAAATACCATAAATACGAAATACATAATGTCGTAGTTATAGTCAATAAACATTCTGAAACACAGATAAAGTAGTATAATTCATTTTAGTCAATACATTCCAGAGTTTTTATATTCCCAGGACTTAGCATAACTCTTGTAAGTTCTAAATTTTCGTTATTTTATCACTAACATAGTCCTTTTGCTTGAGTACTCTGTATCACTGAATAAAATAATTCTCTGAATCCTATTTTTTACTATGTAGGCTTTGTTCAAATCAGACAATCTTTCTGAAGGAATTCATTCAAAGTGTGTCAGATGCAATAGTGCTCCAAACAATTCTAAACAATCGCGACGTAATTCAAATTCAATTAGTCCTCCGGAAAAATGTGATGCAGTGGAGCTTCATAACATTGAAAAATTTATTAACGTTGTGTAAGTTACACATGTAATTATGCTAGATAATGACTATTGTCAATGAAAAACTATCGTAATTCTAGGTTGCCATTTTAGTATGGTTTTATGAACAGCGAAAACTCAGTGTCTAAAAGTTTAAGCATATATTTTTGGTCAACATATCATCCCACGTAAAAATACTTAACAATAACAAATTCATTGAGTTTGGATTTAGTATATACAAACTTATCGAGGGTAGAATCAATCTTTTCCAACATAATATTTCTTACAGTCAATCCAATTTATTTTGTAGGTCATTTTGCATTTGTCGTCGTTTACTTGTGTGTCATTCCACCTATATATAGTAGAACGAAGTAATTACCTTGGTTTGTGATCGACATTGATTCCGAAAGGTTTCACAATCACATATCCCAAGGCGATCTGTTAATTGGTTTGCGAGATTGATTTCCCGGTGGTCTGCTGATTTGGTAGATATCTCTTGTTGAAATTGCTGGACAACCATTTTTACGGAAGCCAGAGAAGAAGTGAATTTCTTCAGTTTTTTGTGTATTGAGAGTTCTGCATTTTTCTTTAGCTCTTTTGAATAATGTCTGTACATAACTTTTTTTGTATTTTGTTACTGTCAACAAAACAAAACGGTTAACATCAATAAACTGACAAATGACGACAACAGAACTTACGAAGTAAATCAGTTGCAAACAAAACCTTCAGGACAAATCGACCTAATACTTGTTGTATAACTAGAGAAACCACCTCTACACGAATTAGACATTGATGATATTGTCCAGAACTACGAAGAAAGCTTTTAAATAAGCCAGGGACCTCATGGAAAACCATATCACCAAAGATGTCCATCTGAACTTCAAATCTTCATCTTTCCGAAGTTCGCTACTAGTGTTATAAGGCCAGAAATTTTATTAAGCGTGTTTCCTTCATTTTCGACCAATCAACGCTAGTGGAAGAGTTGAGGTAGCCACAAAATTTATGCGGTTGTGTATACATTAACATTTTTAAAAATCACAATTAGCTTTCTTTTTGCTTTAAAATATATTTAAGTTTCTTGTTTTTATTTGCGACCAGTTGTGTTAAAGTGAAGCGTTCAAGAATACTAGGCTGTAGAAAAAGACATAATAACTAGTTACCACGAATGATGCGTTATTATTGAATATCGTTACTTCAAAAAGTCTTGGATTAATATTTTTGCACAAATTTAATTAGTTATATAACTATACTTAGAACAGAAATAAGTTCCATCCAGAACACATTGATGCTACTTGCTTCCATTTGTTGTATAGGCTGATTCGAAAGCTTCAAACTTTGGCTGATCATTGTCGCAAATCTTTACAAACATGTTTATATCTCCACCAAAATGGTAGTATGAATCCTGCGCATCAACCTGAAACGCCAACTTGGACTAATGTACCGAATTTCTTCCCAAGAGGTTGTCCATGTAAAAATTCCAGTTTAAATGATGGATTCGTTAAACGTCAGTCTAAACACGATACAACTGACACTACCCTTTGTAAAGTCAAAGAGCCAGTCAAAGATGTAAGTTTTTGCTATAAACTGATTAAGTATTTATGGACTCACTTATTGCATATTAAAAAACTGAAAATCTATTTTTTCTTCTGTTATTATTTTGATGACTATAATTGATTAAAGAGACTTCATTCTAAGGAAAGAACTATATTTCAGTAACATCATTATTGCATCATCAATGTATACGTATACTAGTTTAACCATAACATGTTTGTGAGGTCTGTCCAAATTTCATCTCTACATCACGAAATAATCCTGGCTAGACCGCCACTAGAAAGCAAGAAGCACAAGATATTTGTATCTTCCTAATATGGAACTCCATAGGAGAGTGTATCCAGCGCTCCTTTTGGAATCGACCTCAAGATTTAATGTTTTGCATCGTGCATACACAGTTTAGATTCAATGGTTCATAAGTTAAACTTTATTCGATTTCAGACGTCACAAGACCATCTTTCAATGCCATTAGTGAGTAACTGGCTCACACTCGAAATGGTTGAACTCCACTGGTCATAGCTTCTTACTAAAACTCCTAGAACTACCTCTCGAAATTAGGTATTCGTTAACACATGATTATTATGAGTCTAAGCAGTCTGTAGAGATTGTTAAATTTCATAATTCTCATCGATGGCAGAGTTTCAATTTTTAGGATAAATTTCACTTGTCCTCATCTGTTAAATATTTCTAATATATTCTTGTTTGTTTTCATTTGTAATATTCATAGTTGTGTATTGAATGCTGTGTTATTTACTATAGGGGATTCCATTGATGATTATTAAAATAACTCATTAGTCATGAGTTATCCTCCTTGTCCACACTTATCAGTTGAAGAATATTAAATCATGTAGTCACTAAGATGTAGTTGTAATTCTGTTGTCTTGTTATTTACCACAGTAGAGTTGACATGACTTTTATGTATGATATTTCAGGAACACTTTTGTAAAACTTTATTAGATAATTCAAATTCGATGAATCCAACATTTAATTCTAAATCTCAAGTTTGCCAAACTGTTGAACTTGGAATAAATGCTAAACCATGTAAAAAGATTTTGAATGCTAATAAATTCACATTTACAAATAATAAATATTGTAGTGGAAAATGTTATCACTGTAAAGAAAATCAGTTGAAAACACCTGTGATACGCGAAGTGATTGACTATACTCTACCAATAAGAAAAATAGCATGGAAATAACAATAACATTTGTATATGCTTAATCTTTCAAGATATAATAAAAAACCAAATATTTTTTTTCGGAGAAATATATTTGCGACACTTGTGTTTTCCTTGACTTTGTATTTCCTTTCTACTATCAACCTATTTAACTAGTTATTGAACATTGAGTTTACCAGTTGTTGAAACGACTTATCAGTGTTTTTCTATGTTACAAACATACATGTAAGAAATATCAACTAAGTTATATTCATTATTTTAAGAAAAGTTGTTTTCGTTCCACAATAGGACGTAACGGCTGTCCAGTGCTTCCAGGTTTTTCATGGCGGTCTAACTTCAATTGACTCATGATCTTAACCATTGAAATTACTATAATATCCACAAAACCCCTTCTGATACTAAAAATGTAATGTAGTTGAAAATTTTGTTTGTTAATTTTTATTCAGGTGAATAATTTACTTGGTCAGAATTCATCAACAAAATTTTTGTGAGTTACTGATTAAGTATTATATTTCATAATTTGTTGATGGAGACTACCGTTTAGCACTCCATTTGGAGTTTTATTTGGCATATGACTGATAAAATCATTAAATGGTAGCAGAGTAGAGAAATCAGCGAGACTATAATTTATGGACCAACCAATCAGGTATAAGATTTTGGCGCGAAATCCACTTATTCATTTAGCTAAATAGTTTTGTCGTTATAGCTTATGTCAGTTCGTGATGAAAACCCTAAATATAATTCCTAACCTTAATCATAGTTCTAATTCCTCACATTGGTTTATATCCCTCATTCGCTCCTAATTATTAGGTAGACACTCTCAAGGTAAAGTTGAGATAGTGACATTAGTAATTTCGGCACAAAATTCAAAGTCTTTGTCGCCTACCTTCGTGTTGTGTTTTTTAGTTTCCCCATCTGTTGTTTGTTAATTTAACTGAAAATTTTATGGCAACACTTATAGTGTCTTTAGTCACACACAGTGTGTTATGATGTGCGGTGTCCTCGTATATACAAGCCCCCGAGCGGCTACCGAAAGAGAAGGCTAAGAGTGAAGACGGAAGTTTATTGGAGTAAACCGATTTATATGCATAAGCGCTCATTTATATACATATATATCTACTGAGAAAATGGAACCGTTTCTTGGCCAATAGGATGCACTTGGCACTTAGGATATTTCTGATTGGGACAACGTAGTCTTCCCATTTGGTGGAATTTGATTGGGCTACTATATCATTAATGAAACTGTAAACCTAAATGGTAGTTGTTTCGAAGATGCTTCGTTCAAGCAATACAGCAATATATCGAAATTAACAGTATGAGTATTACCGATTTGACGTACTTCAACTTTATATGACAAACCTTTTTAAATAGAAGTCATTACAACCACAATGTTTTGGTTTACATTACGAAGTCAGTTAAAATCGTATGAACGATTATAATCAACCGTTAAGGGCTCTATAGTCTAGTACGCGTTTTATTCCTTAAGAAATAATATATTAATGTAAATCCGATGAAAATATGCACTGTGTTATAACCTTTAACCCACCAAGGTAATTCAGTTATCAGGTGTATCCAGAGTGAAGCATAATAAATGATAATTAAACTAGTTTTTTTTAAAACAAAATATTTGTACAAATCAAACTATATATACAATAAATCTTTATTCATTTTCTTCAATATCTTTAGGTTCAGCGTCCCACAACCAAACAAAATCACCACCTGCTGTAAGCAGTTTACTTTGTTTAGGATGTGGTGACACTGAATGAATCATAAAATTTACTGATTTAGCCGTCTCAATTATCAATTCACTAACTGATTCTGGGTTGTGCGGAGATAAAACACCCCATGCATTGCTGCCAGGTTGATGGTCTAGTGTATGAATCGGTGCATCCGAACGTATGAAATCCCATACAAAAACAAGACCATCTTTTTCTGAACCACTGATTATATGACGATCTAAATTCATTAGAGCACTATCCATTCTGTAAAAAAGAGATGAAACAAATTATAAAGATCGATTACCATAACTTGTATTTATCTAAATAAATGAATAATAATTTATTAGTACATTTCAACTAAAAATAAACTATACTCCCGATAACCTCTGACCCAGCCTCAAAACCATTGAGAGGGCGAGAGTCAGCCAAATGTATATTCTCTATTTCAACCGACGATAGTACATGAAGAGATGTATGTGCATTTATGAACTGTTTTACGAAGTCCTTGAGAACCAACAATTCAAAGGTGCAAGTTTTATGGCACCTAGTTCAACAGTAGTGCGCAGTATAAAAACCCGTTAATATTACCTTTGAAAAATTCAAACTCAAATACTGCAAGACTGAGAATTTGTCCAATTAAAGCAGTAGTCATAAACTTAAAGCTTTCAATATGCTCTAAGACGTAATTTCTCTTCAACCGAATTTAGGAAATAGACAACTTTTCAAAACTTTTACCAATGAAGTGGTGGGTAAAGAAGCTGATAAAACTGAGACTTATGTTTTCTAAAGAATACACTCTTTGGGATCTGATCAGTTACTAAAAGATAAGTTATTTCATAACTGTTTCAGACTTCCAGTCATGACAATCCATGTAACCCAGATGATATGCAACTTTGGATACTATCAGCTCATGTAGACAGTTAATAAACTGTTTTATAACTTGTAACTTATGTGAAACTGGGAGAATAATAGCATAACAAACCTTAGATCATGAAACTGAGCAGTGTCAACTATAGTCCCGTTAATTTGGTAAGAATGGATGTTAGAATAACGCAAACAGATAAGTCTTAGAATTTCTTGAGGGATACGTAAGGAAACTAATAGTTTAGAAAACACTATGATTTTTGGTTTGGTTAATGTCGCCTGACGAAACTTCATATATTAAAAAACTCATTACTTAGCCTCAATCAGATTAATAATTTTAGTATGGTTTAATACTAAGTTTTCATAGTACAGCCAGAAAATATTGAAATGTAGGTTTAAAAACATTATTAAATATTTCATTAGTGAATATTATGGTGAGTCTTGAACTGTTTCACAAATAAATATACAAACAATAAATAAGCAACTTTTCTGGAAAGAATGGTCTTACTTGTATGTTTGATTAGTATGTCCTGTGTATCTGTTAAGAAGTTCACCGGTTAACGCGTCGAATAAACGTAAAGTTGAATCTTGTGTACCAACTAAAAAGCATTGGCAATCTATGGTAATTGAAACTGATGTAACTGGGTAACCAACATAGTCTTCAGTCATTTCACCTACAGCATTTTATATCGCCCAGTCAACAATGATAAAGGATATTAAACATTAATAGGAAAATATCATTTATATCGTGAAAAATTATTCATGAATTGATACAATATGACCATTTGATAAATTTAAGCAAGCCCATTAACTGCGGTTACACTATTTACTATTCCTAATTTGTTGCCAGTCAGTTACTCACAGCCACTTTTTGTCCGTTCATATATAATTGTTATATTTCATTTTATAGTTTGATGAGATCCGGTATAGCCGTAGAGGTTGGTTGCTACTTCTGAACTCAAGGCAAGGGAAAGAGAGGAGCTTGCGAACAACAGGCAAATGGGAACTTAGCTGTCGAGGAAACAGTAGACTCGAAATAGAGCAAATTAAAATTAGGATTCTGACTAATTACTTAGCATGTAACATTGATATGCGGTCGCAAGACATAATAACATCCAGTTGCATTTATGAATTTACTTGAGGTAGCAAGTATGCAGATAGGGAGGATGAAGAGGAAAGTATCTGATAGGTTTTCTGAACACGGTCCTAGAAACAAATAGCAGTAATGTCTTCACTACTATAGTATCCAGGCGCCTGATGGACAATGGATATCAGTAAAGCATACAAAATAATTAACAAATAACCAACGCCCATTATACCCAATTTTGCAAATGTAGTTTACTAAATATTTCCGACATGACCCATATGTAACGTAGGGAAAACGCAATAGTCCTTTAATTGACACGGTAATTGTAATCATATAATTTACATCACACATTATCTTATTAATGTCTACACATAAATTTGAGTTTGATACTGATCATGTCGAGTAATCCCGTCATAATTTAGTATTTCCACTGTGATTATTTGATCTTTTGTTAAAACTTGATTATAGATAAATAATAACGTCACCTCCATTATGTATTACTATTCTATCAACATTTAAATTTGAAACGATCTTCACTAAGGTCAATCACATACTTTGGATCCTATTCCTCTTATTACAACTTTCGATTCCGTCTCGAACAAATAACTGTGATGTGTTAGTGAAGAATAAACACTTTTTGCTTGGTTATTAGGGGATGGTGAGATCGGATCGTAACTGATGTCAATTCGTGATGAAAACCCTGAATCTAATTCCTAATCCTAACCACCAACTGTAAATCATAATCCTAATTCCTCACACTAATATAAAATCCTAATTTAACTCTAGTAGGTAGGTGGACATTCCAAGGTCATTTTACAGCAAATCAAAGTTCGTCCATAAACTATAGTCTCATCGGTTACTCGTAAAATTTTATTCACACTTGAGAAACCTATGATCATAAAGTTGTCAGTCTGCTGCTGGTGTGAAAAGTGATGTTCAACCAGTTGGGAATGAATTTTATAATCTTGATTTAGTTAATTTTATATATAACAAACAATAATGTTCCTTCAAAAGAAGAAAACAAACGTACCGTATGTAAAGAAGCTTGCTACGATAATATTTTTTTCTTGAGAAAAATAGATTTTTACTAACCTCGTCGAATATCATAAATCCGAACACATCGATCAACCGAACCGGTAACAATTTGATGTCGACGAAATGCACAACATGTGACACTATCCCGTGCCTCATGGATAGTCTACAAAAGAAGAAAAAAATGGTAAAACAGTACAGAAATTAATAAGAAACGAAGAATGCATAAATCAGTTAAAAGTAGGGATAATAATGGGAAAATAATTGAGTAGTTCAAGTTAATAGCATTAGATAGAACATATGATACACAAAAGATCGATAAACCGTCCACTTGATGATGGACTAGTTATAATCACACATATGAATTGATCGATATATATATATACAATGGAGGGTGGAGACAGTTTGTAAACTCAAAAATGGAATGAACATCATAACATGGGATAACCTCTTGAATTTATTATAATTCAATATGTCTGTCTACAATCTTCATAATCACATGTTAATCTGATTGGATAAATCATTAATTTATCGATTGAGATCATGAACCCATTATTGTCAGACCACCATTGAAAACCTGGAAGCACTGCTACAAAAGCAGAATAGGATAAACACATAGAGAATGACGTAGTTTTCACTGAAGAAATACAGTAGAGAAGACATTGCATTTTCCCTCAATTTCATTCAACAATTTATTACGTGTTTGGATATCGTTGAATCATTTCAAAGATTGATATTCCATTATTGGAATAAATGAGACTTAATGGTTGCAAGTGGAATGCTAAACTATTGAGCCACTCCAATTCATATTTAAATGAAACATCCTACTTTCAAATAAAATCAACCATTAGAATACGGTGAACCTGATGCTAATGTGAATATGCGGATCGGCAAAGCGAGAGCAACATATCTTCAATTGAAAAATACCTGGAACTCAAAACAACTGCTTGTCAACCAACACCAAATTCAGAATATTCAATACAAAATTCAAAACAGTTCTGCTGTATGGGGCAAAAACTTAGAGAACTACAAAAACTATCATCCAGAAGATACAAGTGTTTACATCGGATCCGTTGGCCAGAAACTATCAGCAACAACCTACTATGGGAGAAAACAAATCAGATCCCAGCGGAGAAAGAAATCAGGAAGAAGCGCTAAAAGTGGATAGGACACACAATGAGGAAAGCACCCAACTGCACCACAAGGCAAACTCTCACATGGGATCCTCAAGGCCAAAGGAAAAGAGGAAGAACAAAGAACACATTACACCAAGAAATGGAGACATATATGAGAAGAATGAACAACGATTGAATAGAACTAAAAGGGAAGGTCCATAACAGAATGGGTTGGAGAATGCTGGTCGGAGGCCTATGTTCCGTTGAGAGTAACAGGCGAAAGTAAGTAGTAATATATATATATATATATATATATATATATATATATATATATATATATATATATATATATATATATATATATTTTAAGGGAATGAAGTCTTGAGACAAGTCATTAAAAAGAAAATTTACTGTGCTTCATAGGCCACAATAACGAACAGAAAACCATTGCAAAGTGATGAAGATTTATTGTTTGGAACAATTTACTTATATTGTGTTGGTAAATGGTACTTAATGAGCCCACAGTTTGAATTTACTCAATAAAATAAGGAAAAGTTAACACTATGATACTCTATTTGATTGCTAAGTAATAATCAATATATTATCTCTATCTAGATGTTCGTGTTGATCAAATCATTGGGACTAGGTCTCAACATGACACCAAGTCTAAGTTGATGCCATATACCAGAAAAAATATAAGCGGTTAGGTAGATCAAATAATGTTAAGATGATAGAGTGTACGTATCGGTATATGTAAGCGAAAGTTGAATACAAGGAAATTGAATCGCATCCGTAAAGACATAGCAAATAATGTATATAGATACACTAATTTAAATCAAAACCTTTTTCATTATATATTATGGACTTTGAGAAAAACAATTTGATTATAGTAAATTTTGAATCACTACACTGACATAATAGCCTCTTGATCAGGCTAAAAGATCCAACAGCTATCTTGTATCTCGATTTCACCCTACTGATGGAGTGCTTTTTGTGTATTTGGCTTCCGTTATATCCATTATTTTAAATTATAATCGTTTTAATCAAGAAAACCTACCTGAACTGGATAAGGAGTACGTGCTCTGGCATCCCAAACTAGAACCATCCCATCTACACCAGTAGACAATAAAATTGGACTAGGGTCTAATGAATCGGAATTGTGAAACGGTGCAATGAATAAAACAGAATTCACACGACCAGCATGACGACGCCATCGACGAACAGATTGTCCTGTAGAAACATCCCATAGTATAACTAAACAGTCTGCTCCACCTGAACCAAGTTGACTATTATCTTTCCCTGCCTACATGTTAAAAAGCAAAGTATTGATAAAAAAATTAATTAAGTTAACATCCGAAGGAAAAATCAATGTGATCGTCCATAGAATGTATTTACGCTTCTGATCACTATTGTAGTACAGATTCTTATCCCCTGTTGTGAGTCCAGATGTTTTATGTGGAGGCTACATGAAAAATCTGACTATCCAAACCAAATTACATGAATTAGTGAGGTCTAAGTATGTGGAACTAAAGGCTTTTAGTGGCCTGATAACTGACTCCATTTAAATCGTATACTGATTATTGTCGAAACATACATGCCATCAACCCTCGCATACAATTATCGACCTAACTCATATTAGAGACTAAAGGAACAAAATAAGCCAAACACAAGAGTGGATTTTGAATACGTGTATTTCGCACACATTGACTCGGACACATAATCAGAGATACACAGTAAAGCAAGGCGAGTGAGCCAACTTGTTTTGATTAAGCGTGACACAATATTTATATTCAGATAAAAATAATTTGAAGACACACGATGACTACGGTAAGTAATTAACACACATAAGATCATATAAAACAGTCAAGGTTAATAGGGGAACAATTGACAAGGTCAAAATGTGGCTTTATCATCTTGGTTGGTGGTCTTATCTTCTAGCATCAGTTTGATCAGGAGCTAACATTGATAATGCGTTCTCACGAGCATGTGTACTCGGTAACTCCGTATCATCTTATTTTATCGATCGAGTAGCATTCTTAAAAATCGGAAATTCATTCATCTAATTATAAAATCTTATTCCATAGCAAGTCCAGATCAGTAAACCACTGACCCGTCAGTGAGGATCTATTAGGATAGTGATTCACTAAATGATACGACGATAAAATTGGTTTTATACAGGAAAGTTTCGGAATACCTTAAGGAATGACAATGATAGATTATACACAAATCATTATGATGTCGTGTGATCTAGTTTCTTTTGACTAAACGTCAAGACACTAATACACAATCGTTTCATACATATGCTTCCTAAGTACCCAATGCCAAATTTTTTACCCAATATAGAAACTTATTCAGCTTGGTGGTCATGTATTACGCGAGATAATCCATAGACTGTAGCCACAAACTACAGATCAAAAGTATAATGTTTCATTTATTATCCAGCAATTTATATGTGAATATAATGAGGTGATTTTGGAGAAAATGTAATAATTTGCTTATGGAGATCAATTGGATTTAAAAATAATTTGGTTAAGGACTGTTGTGTTCTGCTGTCAAACACCCTCTAAGCAAAAAATCCAATCGAATTTTACTACGTCATAGTAAGAATTAAGAACGAGTGATCTAGATCACGATAAACCAAATAGCAAAGTCTAGTAAGGAAAACACTAGTTTATATAAAATTTACATATAAAGCTCGTAGTGCTTGGTCGATTCGTCTCCCAGCGCTGATTGACTGAAAATCGATCAATTAATATATTCCGATCTGGATCAGACCAAAGTGGTAAAATTCAGGATTCTGTCCCAGACTGGTACCAGTCGAGAAATCAGTGCTTTGGTGGCTTTCCATACTTGCATAACCAGTTTTTTAAACAGGATGATAAACAAAGTGCTCGTTTAACGTTTCAGCTGTTAGAATTCAGAAATTATAATAAGTGCAACTCAAAGTACGGTAGAAAAACCTATGCACGGTTATTGAGTTACCCAAGTACCCTTATTTGTGTGTGCACAAAAAAAGGAGTAAATCTATGTAATAAGAGCTCACCTGTACATCAGAAACTTCACCTCCATGCCCTGCATAAGTCTTTAATAAACGGAAATTATAAGGATTCCATAATTTTATCGTTTTGTCACCACCAGCTGTCATACAATAATTCCCATCTGCATTAAAACGTGCTGCACGTACAGCTGACTGATGGCAATGAATACGACAGTATGGTTGAGTAGGTAATCCTAATGTCTTGTAACTACCATCATCTTCAGAAGACATCACCCTGTTAGTGGAGAAAACGGAAAATAAAATAGAATTTAGAACAGAACCAGCCAATTCCCACATATGAATGAAGTAAAGTAGCCAGCTTTCAGAGGTACTCAGAGAAGCTATTGGCCTCTTACAAAACAATCAACAATGACAGTACTCATCGTTTATTGAAGTTATTAACAACCATAGTTGAACAAATTCACCACATCGACAGTACGTAAACTAATTATTTCTTGTTACAATCAAAATGAATGATTGTTAAGATATGCACCTACCTCTATGACTGATCAGAGCTGGAAATACTTATTTATTCTCATTAATTATTTGTTGGAACGAGAGCCATTGGCGTGATATGTATTGATGATAGTTTTTATCATCAAAGAAGCAAATATCAAGTGGACATTCATCTCGAAAGAACAAATAAACCTTACATTTTAAGAAAACTGCTTATTAACATCTCTCGATATAAACTGCATTTCTTAACCATTCCATACTGATTGCAATGCTGAAGATAACCGGCCGCCAGTTTCTTAACGACTTAAACATAAACTGCGCAGAGGATTTACCAATTTGTTGTAATATCATTTAAGAAGCAGTTTGTTATGGTCGACATTTCCATTTGTAGCGAAATCAACAGCCATACAATACTAACTCAGATAAACTAATTGAAAATGTACTATGATTAGGAGATTCACAATACCAGCACTCCCCAGTAATATTCTTAGTAACAGATTTTTCATGTCATAACACTAATAATCTCAAAATAAAACTTACATACTTCTATGGCTAATGTTTACGAACCATAAGGACTATACATTACGTGAGTGTTATTCATGCGGATCATCTATTTATAAGTGTGTGATACATTGAAGCACTTATAAATAACCTACAGACAACTATCTTCATTTTTGAAATAAATGTTGGTTCCTATGAGATTTTTACCCACAATAAGTAACATGAATCAACATCAATGGTCAAGTAGATCAGAAATTTAATTCTTTTAAAATTGAGGGAACATTATGCCAGATCGTGTTGTCAATATCGATTTGCACAAAATAATATCAATCGGGTTTGATTAGCCAAATCATAGTCACAATTATTTTGATTCATGAATGTTGATAGGTACTTCTTCCGCAAGAAAAAAACAATTGAGATTTATACAACCATACGATATATTTTATCATAAAAAATCTAATTCGTAGGAATTAGACAATCAGAACAGAAAGAAATGTATCAGTACGTTTGCCTAATTCACGATGATATATTTTTAGTAACACCAAGGATGTTGGACGAGATTAGAACAAGCCAAGGAAAAGTTTCGGACAACTACAGGCTGAAAACATGAATAATTGGAAAACATCACTGGAAATGCAGTTTCATAGAAATGCTTCTTTATACATCGTATTCCATAGATGTGCAAAATACTGGGCGAATAGAGAAACCATCCACTGATCTATTGGAGCTGTAATGAACGAAGATTCAGGTACGGCAAACCAACTTATTATTTTATGCAAAATCACACATTGTCTTTCTAAAATATGAAAATCACACAGTAAATACATCCTTGGTACATCTTCCTTCAGTTATCCTTTACATAGTTTATCATTCTTTTAATTGTTGTTATGCCGATTGCTCTCCGTTTTCCTTCCTATTCTTTTTATTTCAATCTTCTGCTGGTAAGCATTCCACTTGTCATTGCTGTTACATATTACTTATATCTCTCCACATAATAGGTGTACACCACAGAGCTGCGGTTGGACAAATATTTTGGAAGTAAAATGTGATAGGACTATTTATTCATATCGAAACATAACTCACTGAAAGACAAATTATTTTGACAAGTCGAGTTCAGATTAATAAAAAATGTTTCTGTTCCGTCTTAAAAATTGTTCGCAAATTCATATGGAACTGCATAGAAAGGATGTAATACAGTAAATCAAATCTGCTAAGAAATATCCAATCAGAACAAAATGGATTTTTAAAATAATTTGCACCTTTGCTTAAGTTGTGATAATCAACCCAAGAAGCAACATGCTACTATGTTTACCTAAAAGTGCCAAAGAATATGTATATACACCACCAAACATCTAATAATTTGTCGTAAAACGTAATACCAGTACACACTATATCCCAAGTACCAAAGTATATCAGAATGCGGAATGCTCTCTCTCATACACTAAACAGTGAGAAACTATCCTCATTCTTTAAACTGTCAGCGTTGAACTACTACCAAGTTTACTACTTACAGAAAGCTCGTTTATTTCGTTCTGGAAGATATTCAATCATAATCATCATATATATGAAGCTGACAAATATGAAAATAGCTATTAATTTATACTTTACATATAAAAAAAGTCAAGAGTATGCAGTTTCAGACCAAAAAGGACCAACGATTATGAGATGTAACTGTATTTATTTGCTGTTAGGTTAATATCATAAAATCACATGGAATACATTTAATGAATCATATGTATTTAACTATCAACCATTGAATTAACAATTAAACTATACTGAACAATTTACAAATATCTGAACTTCCTAGTATTGATTGTTTTTACACAATAGTTGTAGCATTATAGTTAAAGGGAATAAATAAGCCTGTGTCTCAGTCAGTCAGTAACAACGTAGAACTTCGTACGTACGTACATCAGTTCGAGTTGCCATACCACATTAGCACAGAGATGCAGTTGTCAATTCAAATCCCATAGTAGTAGAGGTAGTAAGAGTATAAGCAGTAATCCGAAAGATTATTGTTTGAAAACGTTATTCAAAGAGTATAATACAGTGAAATATATTTGGAAAGAGAAAAAAAGGGACATAAAGAATTCACAAGACCAGAACCTGGGAGAACACAAAGACTGGATGCACCTGTGCCATTGTAAACGATTTTGAGCCAAGATCCCTAACCATCGGTTGCTATCATTTTGCGGTCCCCAACCAAGTAGTCTACACCTACCAAAATGGCTTAGTCCACTTGTCAGTGAATTCATGGATTTGTGCCATGTTTTGGTCTGGTTATTCATCATTATATATATATATATATATATATATATATATATATATATATATCGATTGCTTTGTATGGTTTCTATAACTCAAGTCAGTGGATAAAGGTATATATTGAAAAATATTAGCATAACTCTATAAATAAATGTAAAACAGAAAAGAATTACATAAGTATGTCAAAATAGTCTTTATTGTTTAAATAACAATAAAAAACATAATCATATACATATTTATTATTGACAATGAATAATCTAAACTGAAATCACTTTGTTATGAAACACCATTTAACACCTTTAAACGATCCATGATTTCTTCTGTGAAAATATAAATATGAAATAAAAAACAAAAGTTGAAAGTTAACTTCATATTCAGCTACAAAACATTTTATAAGGGACAAAATTTAGAAATTTTAGGCTTAGTTACTACTACTAACCAATATGAGTCTTAATATCATTACTTATTAATCCAATGAGTAGTTTGTCCCTAGGTTATATTAACCGCACTTAGCAATGAAATTCCAATCGGTTTTCAACCGGTAGATTGAATCTTTGGACTTTGTGTTTGATTTCAATCGACATGAATGACCAGTTAATATATTATTGACCATTACATACACAATTAATATGCTGCTCAAACCTGATTACGTATACTTTTAGTCGGTGAATAAGTTTAAAATCTATTTAAAAGTGACTGATTTCATTAGTACTTCATTTGATATTAGTCCTTCTTAATGAACAAAAATCGGTCTTCAGATCATCTATTTTGTTAATAAGCAAAATAGAAATTAGACAATCTTTCATATTTAAAAATTAACATTTTTGAAACCAAATCAATAAGAAAAGTTTCCAACTGAAATAACCATTTTCCATTAGAGACGAATAATTCAACTTTGAAACCTAAGAAAAACAGTCCACCTAGAAGAGCTTTAATGATGATAAAGTTAATCAGTCAAAAGGTACCATCCATAAATCTGTACAAAAAATGTAATTTGTTTTAGATCTCAAGTTCACTAAGTACTCATAGTACACTTAGCGTAAAATGCACTTGGTTGGGTAAAAATGATTAAAGTTTGCAAAAGTAGGACTTCTAAGTGAATAGTTCGAGAATGTGACATCTATACATTGAAGTGATTAGTTCATATGTTATGATTTGGAGTTTATAACGATGTTTCAGGCATAATATAATTGACATCCTATTCAAAGACTTATTTATTGATTTAGAGTACGTAGATGACATAGTTCAGTGTGGGAAAGACGCTCTCATAAGACTCTTCTTTGAACACCTCGAGTAAAAAGACACAAATGTTTTGGATGAGACTCTTCCCCTCTTCGTACATAATGTTGTTTGACGACTTTACAGTATCAGCTTAGTCTAACCATAGTCTCGTCAGCCCCAGTGGTGGTTTCATGACTGAAAAAATCTCGGTAGGAACTCAAAAAGCTCGCTTATTTTTTTGCGAATATTGAGGCGAAAGTATATTGAGTTGTTATTTGGCAACTATCTTACGAGAGTTAGTCCGTTAAAACTATCGTATATTGATGATTTAAAGGGATTTTTAAGAATGCAACTTTAGTGGAAGTTATAAAATACAGAAAAAGTAATAAAATATCAGAGGGATAATAATTTTATCACTATTAGTGAATGTATTATGGGGAACCTATGGAAAAATTAGGATAGGAATCATCATGCCGTAGCCCCACTAAACCCCACCTTTTCACCTCAACTCTAACAATTTATTTCATAAGAATATCATTGTCCGATTCTTTCAAAATACGAAATATGGTCTGAATCATGACTTCCAGCAACAAGCTACCCACAATAGCGTTTTTAAATTTGCGATAATACTTAAAACATGAGTAATTTTAATTCTGATGGGTCGCTAATGGCTGTCCACTTAGTATGGTTTTACCGTTAACTATTTATTAACGCAATATTGTGTACATTTTCAGTTTTTATAGTAATTGATGATGAACATCAGTTGAAGAATTCTATGTTTAATCCGTTTGAATCTCTTCTTTTCTAATGCCATCTATCAAGGTTAGAATATTGAGGTAAATTAAGTAACCATAATAGCAATTAACAACAGCTGAACAGGAGCAGAGATCAAGGCACAAGCCAAATACACTGAAGCAAACAAACAAGTGAAGAAGAGCATTAGGAATGACAAGTATAAATTCGTGGAAGACCTAAAAACGACAGCAGAAAAAGCTGCAACAGAAAGGAATATGAGACAACCATAAGGTACAACGAAGAAACTAGCAAGGAGCGACCAGTCAATAACAAAGCAAACAAATCTTAAAGACTCAAGAACAGCGGAACGGGTGAGTAAAGCACTTTGAAGAACCCCTGAATAGACCAATCCCATTAAACCCACAAGACATCGGAGCAGCACGCACAGACCTTCCTATAAATGTCACCCAACCAACGATCGAAGAAGTCAAGATGACCATCAAACAAATCAAGAGTAGGAAAGAAGCAGGACCTGACAGTATACCGACTGAAGCACTGAAGTCAGACAAAAAAGTAACTGCAAACATGAGAAAGTATAAAAAATATAGAAGCACCGACAGTGTCGATTTCGAGATCAACAGGCTAGATTTCGTAAGAATCGGTCGTTTACAGACCAAATCGCGACACTACGGATCATCGTTAAACGATCAACCGAATGGAATTCGTCACTAGACACCAATTTTTTTGAATATGAGAAAGCATTCGACAGTGTAAATACGAGAACTTCGTGGAACCTTCTTTGAAACTATGGTGTACATGAAAAGAACGTCAGCATCATACGGAATTCATACGACGGACTACAGTGCAAAATGATGCATGAAGTAAAACTGAAAGATGCATTCCAAGTGAGGGCCGGCGTCAGACAAGCTTGCTTACTCTCCCCAAAATCTCAGGGGAAGCACGAGATACGGTGGATAGCCTGCATGCAGCTAGACGATCTGGAATTCGCAGATGACCTGACTCTTCTATCTCATACACATTAACAAATGCGGGTCACGTCAGCTAATGTAGCAGCAGCCTCTGCATCAGTAGGCCTCAACATACACAACGAAAAAGCAAGATCCTAAAATACAACGTAGAGAGCATCAACACAACTACACTCAACGAAGAAACTCTGAAGGATATCGAAGCCTTCTCATATCTGGGAGGCATCACCGATAAACAGGGAGGATCTGATGCAGATATGGAGGTATGGATTGGATAAGCAAGAACAGCATTCCTAGAATTTAAGATTATACGGAACTTAAAACAGTTGTTATCCAACATCAAAGTCAGAATCTTCAATGCAAACGTCAAGATAGTTTTATTGTACGAAACTGAAACGTGGAGAACTACCACAACCACCAGCAAAAAGTTACAGGAATTAATAAAGTTAGTTACGCAGGATACACAGAAGGCAAGCCCTAACTTAGAATCCTGGTGACAAAAAGAAAAGAGGCAAACAAAAGGGCACATTACACTAGGAATCGGAGACAGATATCAAAAGAATGAATAGTAGTTAGTAACAACTGGGAAGGAGAGACCCGGACAGAATTGGTTGAAGAATCCTGATAGACGGCCTATGCTCCACTATGGGTAACAGGCGTAAGTAAGTAACTTAACACTGGTTTTTATATGATTACCTCAGATTATAACATTAGAAGACTTACGTGTGTTATGATGAATCCAATTGAGTGAATGCATATGACAATTCAGAATACGCGTAATTTGATTCATAATATCCCCGTTATTTGATGAAGTTAGTTTATTATTACCATTAATCATGGTATTCTCCTTAGTTGTATTCGTAGTAGTTGTACTATTATCCGATGAATTGAAACCAGTAGTAACATTCCTTGTAGTGGTATTTGTTTGATCGGCTATTTCACGTAAATCAGTCAATAGTTGACCTAATTCTAAGTCGACATTTGTAGCCAATTGAAATATAGCTTCACGTTCATAATCTGAATGTAACTGACCGGGTGGCAATTCATTCACTGCACGTTCTAGTGGTTCTAGTAAACTTTCCAATTCACGTTGTTGACCCTCAATAAAATCTAATTCCTATAATAAACAAAAAAGGGAAAAAACGACAACAATATATGTAACTACAATTAATTGAAGATATCTACGCCTGAATTATGACTGATTTTAATTAGTCAGTTAGGCATAAGTAACGTAAAGAATATAGCACATATGCGTATTGCCAGAAGTTGACATAACATAGCGCAGTAAAAGGAAATTATCAAGACTAATTCTTAAGTAGTAAAGTAGCAAGAATGTCGATGACGGTAGAAAAGAATTATGAATAGATAATACGATTCGACAAGGAAAAATGAATCCGGAAAAGTAGTTTTAAAACTAAAAATTTAAGGAAAGATAGAATGAATGCACATGATTAATGATCATCCAGTCTCTAATCCTAATCATTAGTTATAATAATCCTCAGCTACCAACCAAGTCTGAACCTACCTAGTAGTTTGTACAACAGTAAATAAATGCATGGAATGATCTCACATCTTGGTTTGTCTTATTCACAGATTTATTTCAACCTACTCATACACTTGTTAATAATACGCTCTGAGATTGACATTAGCTGGATATACGCAGTATACACCCTATCCTCCAATAAGTCGTTAATCTATGTTTCTTAAGAAAAAAATACTAATTTGTACTGTTTATTAATAATTTTACATTTTAGCCAAAGCTAGATTGTGTTTGATGACTAAAGCTGTATTTTATGAGCGCACACATTTCACAACTCTCTCTCATTACGTTACACCAAAAGTCCGACCATGCTCTAATATGAGCACGCATCTACTTGCGCCTCACTGGACGCAAAAAAGTCACACTAAAAAGACCCATTAGAGCTGAATTGAGTAACGAGAAAAGCAAAAGTAGGTTCCATTAACAACTGAGGTCATCATTAGGTAGTTCTGAAAACGAGGCTGACCCAGATGTTGCTTGGAAAGATATACGAACAGCTGCGGAAACAGCACTGACATCTATTAGTGACTTAAACCAAAGGGTTACTAAGAACCAATGGATTTCTTCAAGGTCTATTACACTGATGGATTCTCGTAAACTCATCCCATCAGGCTCTGAACACGATGATGAGCGAAAGCAAATCAGATCTAAGTTAACCAAAAGTCTAATGAATGATCGTGAGCAGTGGTGGGCAACGAAAGCAAAAAAGATGGAAAAGGCGGCGGCTATAGGTAACACCAGACAGCTCTTCAGACTGATAAAAGAAACTGGAACTGAAAAGTCAGGTGTGAGACTATCTCGGAAAAAGACGACGCTCCCAGTTCAGACGTTTAGAACGTTGGGCGGAACACTTTAAGGAGCAGTTCAATTGGCCTTCAGCTACACTACAACTACCCACCATTCCCAGACAGTGTGAATGGAACATTGAAGTAGGTCCTCCAACTCGAGCTGAAGTTCAAAAGGCTATAGTTAATCTAAAACGAGGAAGGGAAGCTGGTTCAGATGGATTGGCTCAAGAAGTCTTTAAGGAAGGTGGTCCAATTTTAGCGACTAAGTTGACTAATATTTTAATTAAAATCTGGGAGTTGGACATAACCCCCTCTGACTGGTCACAATCACTTATCGTCCCAATATTTAAGAAAGGGTCAAAATCATCCCGTGACAACCACAGAGGGATTAGTTTAACTAATATAGTATCTAAAATACTAGCCTCGATAATTATAGGACGCCTAACTAAAACTCGTGAACTGCAAACACGTGAAAATCAGGCTGGCTTCAGACCTGGTCGTGGATGTATAGACCACATATTCACCATTCGTCAGGTTCTAGAACACAGGCATACTTATCGGCGTCCGACAATGGTGGTCTTCCTTGACTTAAAAGCAGCATTTGACTCTGTGGATCGAGAGGTTCTGTGGCGGTGTCTGTCATTGAAAGGCGTACCTCAGAAGTACATAAACCTTATGAAGGCTCTTTACTCGAACACTACTAGTCGAGTCAGAGCTTATGGCGAACTATCATCCGCTTTTGCAACCTCAAGTGGTGTCCGTCAAGGCTGTCCACTTTCTCCCTTTTTGTTTAACTTAATCATAGACCTCCTGATAGAAATAACATTTTGTCGACTGAATTCTCGGGTATTGATCTCCTACCAGAAGGTCACCTTATCGACTTAGAGTACGCAGATGACATAGTCCTGTTTGGTGAAGACGCTGATGAAATGCAGAGTCTTTTGGTAGCACTGAGCAACAATGCCAGAATGTTTGGGATGCGCTTCTCTCCCTCTAAATGCAAGTTGTTGCTTCAGGACTAGTCTGCGTCAACACCTGATCTAAGGATAGGGAGTGAGGTAGTCGAACGTGTAGACAACTTCACTTATCTTGGAAGTCTGATCAGCCCTAATGGGTTGGTGTCTGACGAAATCTCAGCACGGATTCGAAAAGCTCGTTTGGCCTTTGCCAACTTACGTCATCTATGGCGAAGGCGAGATATCCGTCTATCAATTAAGGGACGAGTATACTGCGCGGCAGTTCGTTCCGTTCTACTATACGGCTGCGAAACTTGGCCTTTAAGAGTAGAAGATATTCGTAAGTTACTAGTATTTGACCACAGATGCCTTAGAAATGTTGCTGGGATCTGCTGGGATCACCGGGTAAGTAATGGTGAGGTTTGACGTAGGATATTAGGAAATGATGGTAAATCAGTTGATAAGGTTATGAATCTTCATCGACTGAGATGGTTGGGCCACGTGTTGCGTATGCCTGAACATTGATTACCACGACGCGCAAAGCAAACCAATGTTAGGGATAATTGGAAGAAAGTTAGGGGCGGCCAAACCAAAACGTGGCATCAGTGCTTGAAGACACTAACTCCTGGTTTGAGCCATGTTGGTAGATGCAGACTACCTGGTTGGGGTCCGCGTGACTATCGTAACCAGTGGTTGGAGACTCTTGGTGACATGGCTCAGAATCGATCACAATGGCGTAGGTGTATACATTCCCTCTCTTCCCTTAAACTAAGAGATTAAAATCGCTTCATGTCTTTCTTTCTACGAACTAATTCTTTCTTCCTGTATTATATCCTTATACACAATCTTTCTTTTATATACTACTACCTTTGATGTGACTACTTCTATGAATCCGGTGTTCATCTTGTTTGTGCTAATGAGGTATGGTAACTTGGACCGATGCATATATGTGCCTGGTCCTACGTTGCAGCTGACTGACACCAAAAGTAGTAATGATGTGACCAACCGGGAGATTAAACACCTAATATTCTAGATCCAATCAAACAGAATCAGAAACGTAGACGATTGATGATGTAAACTATCAAAGTCAAAGCAGTGAACCATCACATTCATTTTAATGACAGGTATTTGCAAAACCACAACAGTAGATGTATGAAAACATAGCCTAGCGGTCACGTAAATCAGCTTTTAATCATGAAACTACATATTTGATATGAATTGATGGTAATTATTAAATGTCGTTTACCTATTTCCCTGCTTTAATTTGCTACACTTAAAAAACAAGGGTCAACTTGCATCCAGGTTATTTTGGTGCTTCGGAGCAACACCTGAAATCAATCAGTCAGACAAAACTGTTGAAACGAACCAGCTTTTGCCGATATTTGACTGTAGAATGTCGTCTAGTTTATTGTTTTTACAGAAAACTGAATCGAAAAAACAACTGTTACCTACTGATAACTATTTAGACAGTTTTAGTTTGAATATACAGAAATTTCACGGATGAGTTTTTAAAGTCCATTTCGATGTATAAACATCCCATGCTTTCATGAACACGTAATGCAACCGTACACAGGTGTTTGAGAAGAGACGATCTTCTATGGCTTCCTCACAAATATAAGTAGAGGTGATACTAGTGTTGAGAATGAGTTGATGTTACGGAGTATCACGATAAATAATTCCCCTGAAAATATTACACAATTATTTTCTTTTATGAATTTGAAGAAAGCAAAAAAACAGTAATGTCAATACCAATATCACATACGGACATGATTTACGACGAAAGGGAATACATGAAAATACAATATACATATAGTCTAAAGTGTAGTAAGTGTTTACTACAAACACAACAAACTGTGGTCAATGCCTGAAGATTTTAGGCAACACGGTTCAGAATTGTTCACAAACACGAAGATGTATTCACAGTTTATTCTCCTCCCGATCCTGAATTTTAAAGATTCCTTCATACATATTCTTTGACTATGTTTTTCAGCGATATTCCTAATTTATAGTCTTCCCCAATACCATTAATATTACATTGATTTGATTCGTTTGCTATTTATTTTGCCTTTTTTTTAAGCTAGTGTGGTAAGGCGACTTGGTCCAACGAACATCTATGTTGGAATCTAACGTTGATGACTGACTGACATACACGATTCAGATTAACAATAAACGACCTCATGGATTGGTACTAAACCATGGTTTAGTGGCTCATCAGATTTCCTTAAATCTAGTTCACAGTCAGGCAGGACTACCTGATGAGGAAGGAAAACAAAATTCTAAGTAAAAGAAAAACACTTACCTGCTCAAGACGACTCTGTTCACATTGACACATTTCTACCTTTTTGTACATAGCTGTTATATTTTCCGCATTACAAATCAAAGTCTGATCCCATTGATTAATACGATCTGCTTCATCGAAGAAATATCTTTCTTGTTCTTCAAGTTCAAGAGTCCATTTATTGACCAATTCTTCTAACTGGTTGTAAGTAAGAGTTTGGGAGGATGTGACAGATACACTAGATGTGGTAGTGGCAGACGGAATAGAAGTGGTTGCTATTGCGATAGTAGCGCATAATGATGTAGTTATTGCTGCTGCAGTCGTTGCTGTTTCACCTAGTGTTCGAGTTGCAATCCCCAATGATGACGTTCCGAACCCAGAAGCCGCTGTTGATTTAGCCAATGTGGAGAGACTAGGGTTTCCAAAGTTGTAAGATGTCATTGCCGTTGTTGCTGTTGTTGATGTTAACACTGAAGATGATAGTGAAGCGGAAGATACACCAAAACCAATACTACTAGGTATGGCCGGCTGACTTGCATTGACATTTACAATAGAGGCCGTGGAAGCCCCAGTAGACACAGTCGTAGAAGAAAACGTGCCAAAACTGATTGGAGAAGGAGTTACTGCACTTTGAGTGGTAACAGCGGTAGTCAGTCCGAAAGTGAACGGACTTCCAACATTACTAGTCGTAGTAGCCGGTTTTAAGAGGTTAGGTAAAGGATTAGCTGATGGCTGATTGAGAGCGGATTGTGAGGTTGATGTGACATTTGAGTTTGTTCCCAAACCAGTGATGGTAGAAATACCAAAAGTAGATGCCGTTGTAGATGGTTTTGCTAAGCTAGCGAATGATGACAAACCAAAAGCATTTGAAGTGGTTGCGACTGTACCGAATCCAGTAGATGTCAAGGAAAGAGAAGAAGGGTTTTGGAGTGAAGAGCTGCATACAGCAGTATTTGGATTTGATGAAACAACTGGAGAAAATAATGATGTTGTAGTTGTGCTAACTCCAAATGTTGGTTTTGTTCCAGCAGATGCGCCGAAAGGAGACGACCCAAATGCAAAAGCACTAGTGGTTGAGGGCTTCCCAAATGAAAATCCTGCAACATGACAAAGTAAAGACCACTGAATATTTAGGGGCACACTGTACACCAAATATATAGAACAGAATCAGTGTTTGTGCTGAAAAGGTTTAATTTTTCTATTTCACTACCGATAATAGTACTATATTGCACCGCTCCCTTTGGGTTTGCTTCCGCTGTAACGTGAACCGTGGTAACTGTGACTGATTTATGGGATTATACACAACTTTTAGTTACTTTATGCGGAGGTATATATGACTCATACTTCGCGGACAAATATAGAGTGAGGCCTGAGTCTGCAAGCGAGATTATAATTTATGGACGAACCAACCAGATATCAGACAACAGGTCTCGGGTTTTGGCGCATTATTCACTAATCAATTTGGTTAGACGGAGTCCTGGCACTAGAATTGATGCCAGTTCACGATGAAAACACTAAGTATAATTCCTAACCTTAACCACCAACTGTAAATCATAATTCTAATTTCTCACTGGTTTATAACCCTCATTTGGTCCTACGAAGACGAGCCAATCAGAAGCGTTTTAGAGATTTAAAGGTTACGACGCCAACTTCAGTGCTTAATGCTAACGTACGATCGGTTTACAGAGAATTTCGTAAAAAAACATGATTGAGTGGCTATAACAAATAAAACGATGAGACTATGATTTGTGGACGAACCAATCACATATAAGATAACAAATCTCGGATTTTAACATGAAAGCCTTTCATCCATTTGGCTAAAAAAATTTCTGGCATTATAGCTGAAGTCAGTTCGTGATGAAAACCCCATATATAATTCCTAACTATGGCAATATACGACAATTATTGCGAATTGGATAGTGAAAGCACTAGTAACACTGGCTGCAGGCAGGTACTACAATATACACGGATTTTGAAGAGCGTACGGACTCCTACAAAGGCTTCGTTATGTGCATGGTGTCGTCATCCACAAGAAGCATTTTGAGTACTTAGCAACCGAAGTGCACATAAGCAACATTGAAACTACGTGGTCGGGACTGAAAAAGTTTTTGAGACTTTATCTTGGCTCCAGAGGCCGACTATTCTGTAGCCGTATGGACGATTTCCTCTACTGCCTACATTACGATTTCAGAATCTCTGAACCTCTTTCTAACCTTGACAAGTTTTTGAACCAAGTGTATCTACTTTATTTCTTAGGTTTTGTATAATATATTTTTACTCCAAACTGACTGTTTGCTGATTGATTAATATTCTCAAGGTCAATTAAGATTCGTTCAAAGGTCGTCCATAAATTAGAGTCTCGCCGGATTTGAACACAACCGAGAATCGAATAGTTCCACTGATGAATTGCACGACGGAGTAAGAATAAAAACAATTTCATACAAGTGTCGACTAGGTGAAAAGTAGATAATTCAGAGATATAAAAAAACAGGAAAGGGACCCCATAGTACTTCAGTATAGCAAGCGAAAGAAAACCTTTTCAACTAGTTTCCCCATTATTTTCCCTTATCTTCTAACAGAACGTCGTTTTTATTTCCCCTTTATTGGTTGCTTGAAATTATGAAAGGAATGGCATTAATTGGCACAGTAGCAAAACTATGACCCCAACAAGATGGACTACTGAACAAAGTTTTATTTTCATGTAAGCTTAGAAATCCTACGCTTTTTTTGTCCGTGACGACAAACTCCAAATATATGGACAAAAGTCCTCAGAAAAGGATAACAAACCTGACATATTTAAAACTTTGAAGCCGTCTGAACTCCCAAGGCCAACCAATATCCAATAATTAATATTGTATCATGAAGTGGTGATTTAGTCAACGTTGTCAGGTCAACTTAAATCATTATAGACCGGAATAACGGTCATATGTATGTTCACATATTCAATAAGTTCGTAATTTTTGTCAAAAAATTAGATTATGTTGAGAATTTTTCTGTGATTGTAATTTTTCCTCATCATGTCGGACTGCGTTACATGGAACACATGCCCCACATTCCGGAATAACCTCTCAGCTTACAAAAAGCCGAATATTAGTCGTTATTATTTTGAATTAGATCGTCAGTGAGTAATGAGGAAAGGTTTGATGCTAAGTTTTGTCCTAATAGCTGTACTTTAAGCTGTGTATTCATATCCAAATAACCGTACTCCTCCGTTTTGAAATATTATCTTATGTATTTTTTTAGGTACTTCTAATTGGCCTATAGTATGTTTTCTTGGGTTTCTAAGATTGATTACCTATGGTCAGCAAATCTAAATAACGTATCTGTTCAAATGAAACGATAATCACAACACCTTAGTTTAGTACGCTTGATTATCGTATAACCCATTTTAGCCAAGTTACTAATAGCACTTGAAGGAAGCGAAAAACCTAGTGACTAGAATTGCTTATCCTTTCACTTTCGTTAGTGTTTTTAAGCGACGAAATCAGAAAGTTATTCGTAGGAGATTCTGTAGTGCAACCGGTTTCGGAATCTCAAGTATAAAAACCTACAACTTGTAGAGTAAATGAGGAATCAAGCAGATGTGACAGTGATGTATCATGTTTATTATACTCACCCTGTCGCTTGTATATCGCTTAATCATTAATAAATTTCATGTAGGACAGTAGTGATATTGACCTGTAGTACTAACTTACCCCTTTGTGTAAACGACAGAGAAACTGATAACTTCCACATCAGCCTGCTTTAAACTAGAATATTGATCCAAATCAATTCGCCCACAAATGCAAAAGTACGTTGGATGTTGTTGTTTTGGTGCATCACAATATGATGTTTAGTTTGGAAAAGGGTGATCACCATGTTTGACATGTATTTGTAGACTATATTTCTGACTTTGACTATATTTTGTGATCACTACTTTTAAACATTTCTTCCAAGGTTAACGCTGATAGCTGAATAACCAACTGGCTGCGTTATTAGTCTCCTGGACGAGAGCAGCAGACGATTCTTGAAAGAGGAGTTTTGTATCTCATTCTTAAGTACTGGTACTGTAATTTTATCAGACACTAACTCTTCTTTTATATCTTCCCGTGAAAAAAGACACAAATACATTGTAATACATAAATGAAAGCAAAATTATAGAAGCTGTACTATGCGGTCCTTGGTATATACTATGCTTTATACAGGTCGTAACAGCTGACCTTATCTTTAACTTATGTCCACGAAGATGTTGGTAAAGGACAGTTGTATAAATTCTTCCTAGCTTAAAAACATTCAATTTAATTTACTTACTAAATTATTTCACGTACATATGTACACGCACTTTAGTTTTATAATCACATTCCCTATTTATAAGTTACTAGTTTTACCCTTTGGTTTTAGAAAGTTGTGAGTGGACACCAGATGTAAATGCTTATTGTATATACTTTTACTAATGAAATTATTCTTGAATAAATCCACAAATTTGGTTCTATATATATTTATCAAGTTAGCTGTCATAAGAAATTTATTAATTACAAACTTATTATCAGATAACGCATATGTAATAACTCACACTTAAAAGTAGTACACAATATATTTGTTCTCCTTTTTGTGAGCATTCCACTTAAATGAGTGCCACAGACCCGGGCCCCTAGCCTCCTCACAACCTAGACCAGCCATCATGGTGAGTTACGGTGGTCAGTGGATGACGTGCTTATTACATATCCCAACAGTCTCAATCGGTAAGTATGTCATGTTTACAAAGTACTCTGGGTTTATTCTCACAATCTCTAGCTCAAACGCCTCATTATATGCGAGCAATAACCCATATACACCTGTGATGAAATATTTGTAACCTAAGAACTTCCTATACGGTACAATACACTGATCTACGTGTCAGCTCAAATTATTAATGCATATACGTCGAAATTCTCGTTAAACGTTTCACAACCCTCATCTTCGTATTCATAGCAGATAAGTATGTGTTTACTAAGTGCATTATATATATTTTATTTTTAGAAAGTAGAACATATACTAGTTGAAAAAAATCGGAATAATGTGGTAATATGCAGTAGATGTGTAGAATTACGATCTACTATGATATTAGCGCTGCTCTAATAATAGACCTAATCCTAAAATTGTAGATTTGTTATGATGTAACTGCCTAATCTATGAGATCTTACGCGGAAGTCACATAATCATCTACACCGACTCACTGCATCGTAACAACTGCCAATACATGATAGAAAACAGTCCTAGACTAGAGATAGGACAATATATTTAATATGAATAAAAGATATAAGGTAAAATTCAGGAGCGACCACGCCTGCATGGTCGAGCCATGTCATCTGATTAACTTTGATTAATTCAATTCCTTCTCTCCGCCTTCTCCATTCTTTTGTATTTCTCCGCGTTAAATGTTTAATGTCTATTTCTCATATTGTCTCGTGGTAGGGCCCAATGCCACTACAGATGCACGTTAGTTGATTACCTGAAATGCAGAATAGGTATATAGGCTTAACAAGTGCATTCAGTGAGACTTTAACGTAAATTTTGAAAGAAAAAGTGGACTTACTATGAGAGATAATTCTACAGTCACGGTGAGTGTATCAAAACTGACAGTATTCCAGGGTTCACTAACCGCTGTAACTCCAAGATTTTGATCCAAGAGTATGATTCGAATTGAGGAAGGCCAATATCTCCATGCCGTTGAACATTACTATAACCTTAAACCGTTTGATTACTTTACTATTTGAAAGTAGGTAAACCACGACAAATGGAGACTGACAACATAAACGTTTATCAGAAAATGTTTACAGCAGGGATGGTTGTGCACAATCTTAGATTAAGCTATTGTGAATCGGGTGACGTCATATCGCAAGGAAAACGTGAACATAACAACAGTTATTTACCCTTTCGATCTCTATCCATGGCCCTCCGGCTTCCCTCGCGACAGAATAACGGACCTACACAACATATTGAAAGCGTTTCCCCAGCTCTTCATCGTTCAGCTGCTTTCAAACACCACTAAGTGCGTCCGATCCATCTAGTGTTATTGCGTAGTTTATTTCAAATAACGTACCTTCTGCAAGAGAACGACAGTATCCCTAACCAGTTCCCAGCTTGTCAGGTAAGTGAATCTCATGAACCTTTAGAATATATCACTAATATCAACATCTGGACAATGAGTAATACTTTGACCACTTGACGGAAGAGAGTTATCTCTAATACCAAAGAGAATGACAAGTCTGAAATCGTTTCCTCTCATATTTCTGCATAAGAGACACTTAGAAATAAGTATATGGGCATCTAGAAAACCTCAGGTGGCAAAAACGTTGATCTTGGGTGAACTAAAACTCTGGGGTCTGTTATCCACAAGAAAACACTCAAATCAAAACGGATTTAACATTTTATCACATAAAACATTTTAGGATGCTGAAAGGAATACACTGTGATGAGTGGTATTGGCAAAATCCAAGAAAACAAAATTTATTCCAAAAAATGAACGCCAAAATTTAGTGCATCAAATAAATCAGACAATGTTTGCACATTAAAGGACCAAATTGTGCGGTGACTCCAAAAAACCAGTGCAAACACGTTAAGTGAAGCAAGACAACCGTCATTACGTATACAGATAGTAGAAATAATAATTTCCTCTCCATTTTTACTGGTCACTAAGGGGACTCTCAAAATTACGAACCCGAAACGACTTTATCTCCAGTGTCTCTTTACATTGGCTTCTTGTTATTTTAGTACGGCATTTGGTGTGTCCAGTGAGATGTTATCTAGCCACCCGATTAAACTAATTCTGGTCAGTTTGTTAGTCATTTGTGGGTTCGTATATTTTTTAGATCAGTAAGTTTATCTCAAAGCAGTAGGGTTCCTCGATATCTGCAGCCATCACATTATCTGATTGAAGGTTGGTTGGTTGAAATGTGAAAATAATAAAAAGCATTTCAGTGTTAAGAGAACATGATTGATTCAAGAACAAACAGATAATTTACTTAATTGATAATATGTAAGAATACGGAATCGATAAAATAAAAGTGGAACATAAATGACAAAAATAGGGATAGATATTAGCTACTGATTGTGCGATAATGATAACAGCGGTAAATTTGAGATACTGCTCTTCCAAGAGAGGGATAATAATCCCCAGGTAAGCACGTATTATCAAGTCTCCCCATAAAGCTATCCACCAAGTTGGCTGTGATCACTTAGGCTGGGGGAGCATTCCAAATGGTGTACTTGCTCTTTGATGTGCAATATTTCGAGGGCAGTGTGATCGCATTGGGGTGGTCCGGCGTACTTAACATGTTGGTCATTTGTCAGTTTTCGGTCCCTCTTACATCTTGCAGCGCCACTCAAATGTTTCTAGAGTTCTAAACATTTAACCGCCGTGGCAAACCGCTTATGTGATGGAGTGTTGAATTTTTCAGCTAGTAATATTTCGTTATAACCTAAGCGTGGTAATTTTAATATCACTTGTATTATCTCACCCTTTTGGATGTTAGAACCTGTGGGTGTCAGCATATTTCTTCAATCAAATACTTCGGTCCGTCCACACTGAAGCAACACTAGCATGATTCTGTTACCTCTGTTAACTCATTAATGTATGGTGTTAAAGATTTGAGTTAAGTCTTAATGTATATTGTCACTCCACCTCCTGCTTTATTTACCCTATAAAATCGGAAATGTGGCATGTCTTGAAAGCTTGTAGCAATTTAGAAAGGTTGGTTAAGGGTTGGATGGAAACATTTGAATAATGTCATCACAGTATAGCTCAAATACATCCTTGCTCCCTTATTTTGTGCAGGCACCATATTTCGAATTATCCTATGTTGAATGTTGAAATTTTTGTGTTTTAAAAAGAGAATGTCGTAGCCCAGCTATTCTGTATCGCTAAGTGAAAAAAACCTAT